TGCAAATACCTGGGCACATCCGACCAAGCCTTCGCAAATCCTTTGAAATAGATCTTGGGCAAATCTGGTACACACATAGGAACACCATGAAACGCTTTGGCAAATCCGACCAAACCTCACCAAATCCAGGGATAAACCTGGGCAAACCAGACCCAACCTTGGCAAATTCAGAAAATTCCGGCCAACCTTGGCGAATCCATGGAAATATCATCATGAGGTTTCTATTGCTTGGTCGGATTTGGTCAGGTGTTTGCTGAAAATTCGCAAAGATTTGGTTGGAGTTGCCCAACTATTTGCAAAGATTCGGTCGGAAGCACATCAAAGTTCGTTGAAACTTCACCAAACAGGTGTTGAACGCGCGTAAAACATAGATCGAAACTTCAACACGGCAATGAAAGCGCATCCAGAAGGCAACAACATTGCGTTACGAAATCCAAATTGCGCAAAAACTGCATCCAAATTGCATTCAAATTGCAGTCGAACTGCATTTACGCTGCAAAACCGCATACAAACTACATCCAAACTTCACTCAAACTGCAAAAGGGCATTCAAACTTCACTCAAACTTCACTCAAACTTCACTCAAACTTCACTCAAACTTCACTCAAACTTCACTCAAACTTCACTCAAACTGCAAAACTTCACTCAAACTTCACTCAAACTTCACTCAAACTGCAAAACTTCACTCAAACTTCACTCAAACTTCACTCAAACTTCACTCAAACTTCACTCAAACTGCAAAACTGCACTCAAACTTCACTCACACAGTGTAGTTTTGCAGTTTGAGTGAAGTTTGAGTGAAGTTTGAGTGAAGTTTGAATGCCCTTTTTTGCAGTTTGAGTGAAGTTTGGATGTAGTTTGAGTGTATTTTTGCAATTTTAGTGCAGTTTGATTGCAGTTTGTTTGCGGTTTGAGTGCAGGTTCAATGCAATTTGCATGCAGTTGGGCAGTTTGCATGCAGTTTTGGATGATGTAACGCCTTTTTTTTGCACCGTTAGTGCAATTTCAACATAGGTTTGCAGCTTTGTGTGGAGTGTTGAGTGCGTTTGCTTGGCGCATTAAATGAATTCTTGCTGCGGTTGATGTAGTTTCGTGGAATTTTCCGTGGCAGAGCTTCATTTTGGGCTCATATTCCGCCAAGCCAACCAAAAAATGTAAAAAAAAACTTGAAACCTGTGATAAAAAAAGCTGAAAATGTCCTAAATCTAATGCCCAAATTCTTTACATTGAATGAATTCTGGCTGTGGTTGATGTAGCTTCGTGGAATTTTCCGTGGCAGAGCTTCATTTTGGGCTCATATTCCGCCAAGCCAACCAAAAAATGTAAAAAAAACTTGAAACCTGTGATAAAAAAAATGAAAATGTCCTAAATCCAATACCCAAATTCTTACATTGACTGAATTCTCGCTGTGGTTGATGTAGTTTCGTGGAATTTTCAGTGGCAGAGCTTCATTCTGGGCTCATACTCCGCCAAGCCAACCAACAAAATGTTAAAAAAACAACTTGAAACCTGTGATAAAAAAGCTGAAAATGTCCTAAATCTAATGCCCAAATTCTTATTTGCCGACTTGTTTAGCAGTTTGGGCACATGTTCCAGTGCTTTTGCGACGCGTTTTTCGGCAACACTGATGCAAAAGTGGGTTTGGATTCTTGTTATAAGCCATGTGCATTGGTATAGTCTTGCTGGAACGCCCTCACACAAGACACGAGCACTCTCAATGATGGTCACAGCATGCGCAGCAAACACTATTGCAGCATGTCTTCGGACCTTGTCCATGCCCAAAATCTCACAATCTCACGCGCTGTATCATCGGACAGCTGCCGAATCAACAGTCTGTGCGCATGGACACTTTAAAAAAGACACTCACCAGGGCTTAGGTTCGTTGCCGTGCTGGTGGTTCAGGAACCATGTCTGCCTGAAGGTACGAAACTTCACATGAGGCACGTTGAAAGCTTGGTTCCAATCCCGCTCTTCCACGAAATTAGCGCATCGCTTGTCCTCCTCATCCGTAGTGACTCTGGACCAGTCCACCTTCTTCTTCTATGGCTGCGCAGAGAGTCTGCCTCACGCACAGAATCTGGACCACCGCAGCATCAACTATCATGTGTATCAGCTGTCACTCTATTTGATGCACAGCACAAGCGGCGCGGGTCGGGTCTCCTGTCACAAACACATTTTCTCGCACACACTTGCGAAAGACTCCCTGCCTCATGCAGAATCTGGACCACCGCAGCATCAACACTATCATGTGTGTCAACTGTCACTCTATTTGATGAAAGGATTGACAGTCGCGGCCGACTCCACGAACCTCCCTTTCTTCAGATCAGAAAGGCTCATGGTTGCCAAACCTTCCTTCTGTCCTCTGACAATAGCCATCTTTGATGAGCCTCATAGTGGCCCACACCAAGCTCTTTCTGCTCGCGCTTAAAGTCCAGGTACATCTCCCACAAGCTTCTCGCCTGGCGCGCGGTAGAGAGAGCCAAACAAATTGGACAAAGCTACTGTGATCAAATTGCCAAACATGTCCATCCTTCACCCTGGTCAGAGTGCCCTCCATGTTTGTTTCGGGGGGGGAAAAAGAGCAGGACAAGTCTTGATTGGCTCACGCTTGCGCCTTTTTCTTCTTGCCCTCGTCTGCCTTCGCCTTGGCCTTTGCCTTGGCCTTTGCCTTGGGCTTTGGCTTGGCCTTTGCCTTGGGCTTTGCCTTGGGCTCTGTCGGCGGAATCTTTCCATCAGCTTTGGGTTTTTCTTGTTTGCTCTTTTCTTTCTTTTTTTTGGGGCGCCTCTTTCAGTTCTTCAAACGAGCTGTCTTCTGAGGAAGTACAGCGTTTTCTCTTCGGCTTTGTTTTGCCTTTCTGCTGCCACGCGCTGTGGTGTTTCAGTGCTGCTGCTATGATGTCATGGTCGGACAATTTCGTTGAGCTTGAAGCCAGGTTCAATGCGCTGTGTGTGTCGGTGTCAGCGGTACTGGTGTCACGGTTGGAGGAACTTGCCGATACTTCCAGACTCGAAGATGTTGCTTTTGTCTTCAGGTGACCCTTGTTTGCTTGCCTTCCTTGGTCACCCTTGTTTGCTCTCTCTGCCTCCTTGTCCATGCTGGCGGCCTGTCGGGCCCTCTCGTGCATCTGCTCGAAAGACTGCGTCTCCTCCCCTGAGTCCGAGTGTTGGTCATCGTGAGTCGGCTCGCGTATGGTGCGAGCCCCCCTCCTCATTTTCGTCTTGGACCTCGTCCGGCAGGCTGTCGTCAAGGTCTATTTGGATAGCATCAATCACGGCCTGGACCTGCGCCGCGCGCATGGTGTAGAAAAGGGCTACATGTCTTTGGAGAACACACAACCTTGAATGGCGAGTGAGAGTTCATATGGCCCGACCATTGATACTCGATCGCCAAAGTGAGGGTTGATATGGCCCGACCATTGATACTTGATTGCAAACGCGTTATGCCTCAGTCTTGTGCTTCAACCACAAGGAACCCTGTTGGCGTGTTTCCTCTAGGCAAGTGACATACAGCGTGGGCCATCGCAAGATGCAACTCTGGTCTTGCGTGTCAAACGCAAATCTCAGTCATCTCCAGGCCTTAATCTTTTCATCGCCTTTCAACTTCTTGAGGACTTCATCGCAGCAAGCTGATGGCTCCGCAGCTTTTCTATACCCGCAAAGAATCAGACGGATCACAAATCCCACATCCTGACCAATCTCTGTCTTTTCTCGATGTATTGTTTGTGGCCCTACCGTGCAGCAGCAGTTTGGAAATGGCCTTGTTCACAACTGACTTCGAATTCTTCGCAACCTTCACAATGATCTCGAAGCACAGATCCACCAAACCAAGCATCCACTGAGGCTGGGGTCGTGTGTTCCTGTTCCACTTTGTTGGCCCTGACACTGGCGGCAGCACCAACATCCACAGGTTTGTAGACTTCCGACGTTGCATGAAGTCTCGCGAGCAACTCTCCACGCCATCAACATCAGCGTTTGGGTCTGCGGATGTTTTTTTGCTGGCTTCTTAGGTGTATCTACCGTGAAAGAAACAAAAGCTGTTCCACTTGAAAAGCAAAACCATTTCTGCTTTTGTTTCAGCCCGCAAGATCACCTTTCCTGTCATGTTTTGTTTGTGCAGTTCTTGGGAATCTATAGCGCCCTTCCAGTTGTCCCACTGATCATGCCGCATCTCCCTTCTTTTCAGCCCCACAGTTTCAGGACTCACAAGATGACCCTTCTATAGCGCAATACTCAGCTCGCAAGGTGATCGCACAAACAATGAGACTGGCAGTTGTGGGTGACTGGACATGTTGTGCTACATAGTTGATTTATCTCTCGTTGTGTTCCAAATTGAAAAAAACTGGCGTCCCACCTCTTAAAAAATGTAGATTTGATGAAGTTTGATGTAATGTTGATGTGTTTGATGTAGTTTGATGCAATTTAGTATAGTAGTTTTGATGTAGTCTGATGCCGTTTGCATGCAGCTTGGATGTAGTTCGATGTGCTTGAGATGCAGTTTGTCTGTGGTTTGATGTAGGTTTGACGCGCCTCGGAAACTTGCAAAAACAACGCCAACGCAGTTTGAACGCAGTTTGAACGCAGTTTGGATGCACTTTGGAAATTTCACCAAAATTTACTACACAGAAAATTACTACACAGTGTAATAAAATTACTACACATTTGTTAAAAAAGTGTGTAGTAATTTTGTGTAGTAAAAATGTGTGGTAAAATTGCCCATTTTACTACACAACGATTTTACTACACAAAAGCCATTTTTGTGTAGTAATTTTGGGCACGCATGTAAAATGTAAAATTACTACACTTTGATCCTTCAGGTGATTAACTTGCCAACAACAAGATGTGTTGAACATGAAACTAGAACCTCGATGGGTGTCAAAGGCCGGCTAAGCCAAACACAAAAACAACATCACTATGACGACCAAACCGTACAGGTCGAAAGGGGCCTTGCAGGCCTGTGACTTTCAAGCGCTGAGAAACGCATTTGGCATCGGCTTGTGCGAGGTCACCGACATCCAACGGGTCTGAGAGATGAGCACCGCTTGCAGAGGTATATTTGATTTTAACAACTTGAGTTCGAGCTAAGTTGTTTTGTACAGCTGTCCTGGGATTCGGGCTTTGGGCCTCTCATGGGCCCATCCGTGAGCCCAATCACTTGGGACCCGGCTGCTCTCGGCAAGACTGCGGCAGGACCGAGCAAAGAGCCGATGTGTTGATTTCCCAAAATGTCAGAATGCAACCAACGCGGCTGGTCACTGAGTCGAGAGAGTTCTGTGCATAACGCATCACGCCCCTGGCGTTTGCCCTTGGGAGGTTCCAGGTTGCTTCGTGCGCGTTGGGCCTAGCGTGATCCGGTCAGCCCATTTTCTGCTCTTTTCCGGTCAGCCCATTCTCGGCGATCCAAGCGACATGATGCCCATGACGTGTGTGACTTGCGGGAAATGGTGCAAAGACAGAGCAGATTCTTATGTCCACACGCAGGACGGACGTTGCGCCATTCTTTGGCTTGATTGCGAAAGTTTGTCAGCATTCCTCTCAATCATTTGCCCTGCAGGAGACTGGGCATTCAAACTTCAGAGGGGACGCTTTTGATGGACTGGCAACATTATCAGTATGACATACAGATGGCAGTGTTTTGTCATTTTGTAATTTGTATGTTCATGTTTGATCTTACTTGAGGTCCACGCTTCGCAGTTAAGGTCGCAGTTAAGGCCGGACTCGGCGATCCAAGCGACATGATGCCCATGACGTGTGTGACTTGCTGGAAATGGTGCAAAGATAGAGCTGACTCTTATGTCCACACGGAGGAGGGGCGGTGTTGCCATTCTTTGGCTTGATTGCGAAGGTTTGTCAGCATTCCTCTCAATCATTTGCCCTGTAGGAGACTGGGCATTCAAACTTCAGAGGGGACGCTTTTGATGGACTGGCAACATTATCAGTATGACATACACATGGCAGTGTTTTGTCGTCTTGTGGTATGTGCTTGACCTTTCTCAAGTTCTGCACTGTCAAAGGCCGGACTCGACGACGGCCAGGTGCACAACATGGCTGCACGTTTGGCAGCGGTAGCTGCAGGCGGTGGCAACATGCAGGAAGAGATCCAGAGGATGTTGGCAACGGAGAGGAACCCTGCAGCGAAGCACGTGCTGGGCATGCTTAGCAGTCAGAGCCCTCTACTTCAACTTGGCACGCAGGACATTTTTCTGTTGCCTAGCCTCAGGAAGAGACAAACAAGGCACTGATCAGTCTGACTTCCGTTGGCCTGGTTTGATATGTGCATTGTTGCAAACGGGTGCAGCATATTATGTAAAAGGCACAGCAGGGCGGAAGTCACAGCCGGAGCATTGTTGGCTGACAATCTTGGAAGTGAGCTTGGGTAGCCGAACATGCCTGGAATTGCTGCTCCAACCATGCCTTGGGGGATCCTGGGGGGTTGCTCTTGGCCCTGCTGTTGCCCGGCAGGATCCTGCGTCGCAGCAGCAAGTTGAAGAGGCCTTTGCAGTTGGACCAAAAGTCGTGGAGGAAGATGATGAACTCGAGGAGGCCGTGCTTTTGAGCCTGCGCCTGGCTTGTCGCGCCAAGCTCCTTCGGAAGGAGGTAGACGCAATTGACTTAGATTACCTGCAGCGTTGCACGGAGAACTTCGCAGAGCATCGACTCCTGGGGGAGGGAGGCTACGGCAAGGTCTACAAGGCAGTTGACAAAGACGAGCACCTCGAGTTTGCCGCCAAGTGCTTGGTGTGTGAGAATGAGGAAGAGCGCCAAATGATGAACCGCATGACGCAGGCAGAGATCACCACACTCACCGCCTTCACACACCCGAACATCATCCGCTTGCTCGGCTACTGCAAGACCGAGGACACTGCGGTTTTGCTCTACGAGTACCAGCCGGGAGGAAGTGTGGAGACCCATTTGGACGAAAAGGAGCGCGCAGAAGATCTCACCTGGACATTGCGAGCCAATATAGTGAAGGGCTTGGTGGATGCCATCCACCACTTGCACCGCCACGATCCTGCAGGGCCATGCTATCATCGCGATGTGAAACCGGGGAACATAGTGCTGACTGCTGACGGAGATCCCAAGCTGATCGACTGTGGCCTTGCGAGGCTGGCGCAGGCTGACGTGCCCGGCAGCAAGACGCGCTTCTGCCGGGATACCGGCGGTTCACTGGGAACTCCTGGATTCAAGTGCTCGAAGTTCGAAAGAACAGGCAAGTTCGAGGAGAAGAGTGAGGTCTACTCCATTGGCATCACCATCCTTCAGAGACTTAGCTCTCCAAGTCTTTGGAACTTTCTGCCAGCCTGCAACCCAACAGCCAACAAACCGTGTCTGCTACCAAGGATTGTCACCGGAATTCAGGACTTCGGAGACGATAACTTGGACAAGCTGGTCGAGTGTCCACGCGCCTCTAGCATCATGGAGATGCGAGACCAGCGGCCTCCATTTGAGGACAAGAGCGACAACAACATCATCCATGTTCTGGCCAACATGGTTGAGCAGCTAGCACGCATGGGGTCTGCAACGATTTGTCTTTGCATCCTTACCATGCTGCTATATTATGATTCGCAGGAGCAGTTGTTGCTGGGGCTTTGGCGCCGAAAAATAGTAAGAGGTGGCTCGCTCTTGGGAGTCAGCTAGAGATGCCGCGCTGAGGCAAGGCATCGCCACGCATGCCTCGCGATGCAGCTTGCAGACTCTCTGCGAGCATGCGGCCTTGCTGAACTCGAGGCCTGCATGTGGTGCCAGATGTTGCACGCGTGTGGCAAGCACTCCGGGTGTGCCATGGGGCAACCAGCCAAGTGTGTGGCAAGGGAGTGACGCCTCTTGGGTTCTGACATGTTTTGACTTTCTCAGCTCCAGCGACATCAATCAAAGCATTGCTGCTTCCTTTGGGTTTCCTCAGATGTCAAGGGTTTACAGCAGTTGTGCTTTGTGAAGATTGCTTTATTGCTATTGGGCTCGCAGCTTATGGAGTGAGAATTAGAATCATTGATTAGGTTCACTTCCTTGTTTTTGCCTTCGGACCGAAAACCGCGCTCAACGGCGTGCGCGTTTTCAGTTCGTTGGCAGAAATCAGAAGCATCGCTGATCAGCACACCCGCTCACGATTACCCGTTCAGCACTGCAGTCATGCCTGCCACATGATCAGCACACCCGCTCAGCACTGCAGTCATGCCTGCCACATGAGCAGCACACCCGCTCACGCGTACCCGGTCAGCGCTGCAGTCATGCCTGCCACATGATCAGCACACCCGCTCACGCGTACCCGCTCAGCACTGCAGTCATGCCTGCCACATGATCAGCACACCCGCTCACGCGTACCCGCTCAGCACTGCAGTCATGCCTGCCACATGATCAGCACACCCGCTCACGCGTACCCGTGCGTCATGCACATGATCAGCTGCGTACCCGTGCAGTCATGCCTGCCACATGATCAGCACACCCGCTCACGCGTACCCGCTCAGCACTGCAGTCATGCCTGCCACATGATCAGCACACCCGCTCACGCGTACTCAGCACTGCAGTCATGCCTGCCACATGATCAGCACGCCCGCTCACGCGTACCCGCTCAGCACTGCAGTCATGCCTGCCACATGATCAGCACACCCGCTCACGCGTGCCCGCTCAGCACTGCAGTCATGCCTGCCACATGATCAGCACACCCGCTCACGCGTACGCGCTCAGCACTGCAGTCATGCCTGCCACATGATCAGCACACCCGCTCACGCGTGCCCGCTCAGCACGCGTGCCCGCTCAGCACTGCAGTCATGCCTGCCACATGATCAGCACACCCGCTCACGCGTACGCGCTCAGCACTGCAGTCATGCCTGCCACATGATCAGCACGCCCGCTTGCGTACCCGCTCAGCACTGCAGTCATGCCTGCCACATGATCAGCCCACCCGCTCACGCGTGCCCGCTCAGCACTGCAGTCATGCCTGCCACATGATCAGCACACCCGCTCACGCGTACGCGCTCAGCACTGCAGTCATGCCTGCCACATGATCAGCACGCCCGCTCACGCGTACCCGCTCAGCACTGCACTCACCCACCCAACCTACCGACCAACCAGCCACCCAGCCAACCAAGCAGCTAGCGACAGCATGGCCACAACACAACACAGCATGCAAAGCATATGTCCCGAATTCGCTGTCTTCGCAATCGCCGCTGCTGTATCTCTATGTAAAGTCTTGGCAGTGGCGGTACATCTTGCGACAGCGAGATGTGGAGACGCAGACTGTGCGAGCCCTGCGCCGGAGGTGAAAACGGCAAGGCAGCAGAGTGGGCGAGATAACTCGCGTTTCGCCTAGGCGAAACGCAAAACGCATGAAAAACTGACCCCTGTTTTCGGCCTCGTTTTTGGGGACACAGTAAGCGTTTCGCCTAGGCGAAACGCAAGTTTTTTCCAGAAATGTGGCTAACCGCAAGCGCGGTTCTCGGTCCGCCGGGTTGTTTTTGCAACCAAGGTAAGTGAATTGAAACCCGCTGCTTAGGTCTCTTGGATTATTTGCTGCCGCTTGGAATCACTTGCTGCCCCGTTCTGACACAGGTAGTTGTGCGTGTGCCACGCCACGTGTGTGCCACTTGCCTTTTGCTGTCACTTGCTGCCATCGATGCAGATGATCCTGGTGACCCACATGTGCCGTCGGCAGCTTTTGGTTAAGGCGTGATTATCATGTTTTCAATCGACCTAGAACCTAGGTGACCCAAGCGGCGCTGCCATTTGACAGTCATTGCCATTTGACAGTCCGAATCGAGAATCGCATGGCTTCTCCTTGCATTATCCACATGGCCACATCCGCAAAGATAACTGTTGTTCCGACCTGTTCTGTAGGTGGCCGGCCTGTCGCGCTGGGGCCCATGAGATCGGCGTGGCGAGAGTGCCCGAGTGTGAGCCACGTGTAGTGGACTGTTATTGCGCCGTTTACACACAATTTCCTTTGCGTACGCCGAAACCTTGAGCAATGCCTCTCCCTGCCACACGCCACCAGTGCTTGGTCTAATCTCAAAACTCCAAAGATCCACAATCTACTTGAGCTTGTCAGACTACCCAGATGCTTGGCTACCTGCGTGGCAAAGTCATGGCGAGCTAGGCAGGACAGAGCCTTGACACTTTCACTTTCTGGACAGCACCCCGTCGCAGACTACGGCGCTTAAAGTATCTTAACGCTGAAGCGTTTGTAGCCGTTGAACACCTTGAACAAAGTGTGGCAACATCAAGTCGCGCTTTCCTTCCCTGCTGTGCCATTGTTTTTTCTTCTATCCAGTCTGAGCGTGCCTTGGTCTCCGTAATATGTTTGAGACTAAGACGCTATCCGACCTACTCTTTCCTTGCAGCCGCTGTATTTAGAGGACAAGACCTGTCTCGGGCGCACTCTTGCCATTTCACATCCTCGCCTTGGCTTTCACTCTGAGACCTGCGACTGACAAGCACTATTCCCAGTTCCGATTTGCTAAATGTTTCCTGGATGCCCAGCATTGCTTTGATGATAGCCACTGTCAATCTAGTATATTAAGTTTCACCCATTCATTTCTTGGTACATGGGAAATGGCGTGGAATATACCAACCACATTGCCACAGTATTAAATGGGGTACACTGACCCAAACCGATTGCAAGAGAAAATGCAATGAATATGCCTTTGATGATAGCCAAATCATTTGTTGGTGTATGGGGAATGACACGGAATATACTAACCACATTACCACGAGTATATAAATGGGGTGCGCTGACCCAATCCAATGGCAGGAGAGAATATAATAAATATTGATCGTACATCAGATTCAATCAGTTTTTGGAGCTTGCCTTTTTCGTTGACTTTACCAGGACTATTTGTGACTCCTTTTCTTGAGCAGGCACCTGGCTTGTCGCGCCAAGCTCCTGCAGAAGGAGGTAGACGCGGTTGACTTGGATTACCTGCAGCGTTGCACGGAGAACTTCGCAGAGCATCGACTGCTGGGGGAGGGAGGCTACGGCAAGGTCTACAAGGCAGTTGACAAAGACGAGCACCTCGAGTTTGCTGCCAAGTGCTTGGTGTGTGAGAATGAGGAAGAGCGCCAAATGATGAACCGCATGACGCAGGCAGAGATCACCACACTCACCGCCTTCACACACCCGAACATCATCCGCTTGCTCGGCTACTGCAAGACCGAGGACACTGCGGTTTTGCTCTACGAGTACCAGCCGGGAGGAAGTGTGGAGACCCATTTGGACGAAAAGGAGCGCGCAGAAGATCTCACCTGGACATTGCGAGCCAATATAGTGAAGGGCTTGGTGGATGCCATCCACCACTTGCACCGCCACGATCCTGCAGGGCCATGCTATCATCGCGATGTGAAACCGGGGAACATAGTGCTGACTGCTGACGGAGATCCCAAGCTGATCGACTGTGGCCTTGCGAGGCTGGCGCAGGCTGACGTGCCCGGCAGCAAGACGCGCTTCTGCCGGGATACCGGCGGTTCACTGGGAACTCCTGGATTCAAGTGCTCGAAGTTCGAAAGAACAGGCAAGTTCGAGGAGAAGAGTGAGGTCTACTCCATTGGCATCACCATCCTTCAGAGACTTAGCTCTCCAAGTCTTTTGGAACTTTCTGCCAGGCCACAGGCACGAGTCTGCAACCCAACAGCCAACAAACCGTGTCTGCTACTAGTACCAAGGATTGTCACCGGAATTCAGGACTTCGGAGACGACAACTTGGAAGAGCTGGTCGTGAATCCACGCCCCTCTAGCATCATTGAGATGCGAGACCAGCGACCTCCATTTGAGGACGAGAGCGACAACAACATCATCCATGTTCTGGCCAACATGGTTGAGCAGCTAGCACGCATGGGGTCTGCAACGATTTGTCTTTGCATCCTTACCATGCTGCTATATTATGATTCGAAGGAGCAGTTGTTGCTGGGGCTTTAGCGCCGAAAAATAGTAAGAGGTGGCGGCTTGTGCGTCTCGCTCTTGGGAGTCAGATAGAGATGCCGCGCTGAGGCAAGGCATCGCCACTCATGCCTTGCGATGCAGCTTGCAGATTTTTTGCGAGCATGCGGCCTTGCTGAGCTCGAGGCCTGTTGTGGTGCAAGATGTTGCACGCATGTGGCAAGCACTCCGGGTGTGCCATGGGGCAACCAGCCAAGTGTGTGGCTAGGGAGTGACGCCTCTTGGGTTCTGACATGTTTTGATTTTCTCAGTCGTGTTTGTGTGTGTGTGTGCCATGCCATGTGTGTGCCACGTGCTGCCATTTGCTGCCACTTGCTGCACCTTGTTCTTTGTGCTTCCCATCGATCCAAATGGCCCCGGTGACCCACATATTCCAAGCGGCAGCTTGTGGTTCAGGCATGATGCAGAGGTGATTATGCTGTTCTGAAACGACCTAGGTGACCCAAGCGGCGCTCCTCGGTTTGTAATCTCCGGACCCTTCAAGTGACGCAAATGGTCCAAGCGACCCAAGTGGGAGAAGTAAATCCCCTGTCATGACAAGCAAGACCACAGCAACATTTGATTTCCACATCGACACATTCAGGGCCACTGGTCATTGCCATCGAGAATCCCCTGGTTTCTCCTTGCATTATCCACATGGCCACATCCGCAAATGAAATTGTTGTCTGTACATTGCCGGCCCGTCGCGCTGGGGCCCATGAGATCGGCGTGGCGAGAGTGCCCGAGTGTGAGCCACGTGTTGTAGTGGACTGTTATTGCGCCGTTTACACACAATTTCCTTTGCGTACGCCGAAACCTTGAGCAATGCCTCTCCCTGCCACACGCCACCAGTGCTTGGTCTAATCTCAAAACTCCAAAGATCCACAATCTACTTGAGCTTGTCAGACTACCCAGATGCTTGGCTACCTGCGTGGCAAAGTCATGGCGAGCTAGGCAGGACAGAGCGCAGACTACGGCGCCCAAAGTATCTTAACGCTGAAGCGTTTGTAGCCGTTGAACACCTTGAACAAAGTGTGGCAACATCAAGTCGCGCTTTCCTTCCCTGCTGTGCCATTGTTTATGCCTTGGTCTCCGTAATATTTGTGAGACTAAGACCTTATTGCCTCGCAGACCAACCTACTCTTTCCTTGCAGCAGCTGTAGTTAGAGGACAAGACCTGTCTCGGGCGCACTCCACATCCTCGCCTTGGCTTTCACTCTGAGACCTGCGACTGACAAGCACTGTTGCCAGTTCCGATTTGCTAATGTTTCCTGGATGCCCAGCATGCCCTTGATGATAGCCTCAACATAGTATGATGGTTTCACCATTTCATTTCTTGGTATACGGGGAATGACATGGAATATACTAACCAGACTACCACGAGTATATAAATGGGGTGCACTGACCCAAACCGATGGCAGGAGAGAATATAAAGCGTATTGACCGTACATCAGATTCAATCAGTTTGTGGAGCTTGCCTCCTTGATTGAAGTCTTGACCAGGATTATTTGTGACTTATTTTCGTGGAGAGAGAGTTTGTGTGGTGTGGGTTGTATGCAGATCATCTACAATGACATCGAAACTTGAGCCGGTGCTTGAGCCGGTGTGATGATTTGAAGGTGTGGGACCAGGAGCTCCGACCCAGGTTGTGGGGCGATGCCAGGCAACTGAATTTTACTGGCAATTAAGGTAGGTCCGGAGTCTCATTGCAGCCCGGGACCAGGCCTGCTTTCCAGTCAAATTCGGATGAAGGAAGAAAGCGCAATACAGCCCAGCAACAAAGGCCTGACTTGGCAATGGCTCCTCAAGTGCTTCCTTCATCCTTGCTTTGCGACAAGCAATTCTCGAGCCTGACAGGATTTTACAGAGTCCAGACAATGGCTGGCAAAGCCAGATACATGTCAGGATTGTTTACTGTCTCAAGAACCAAGAGGGTTGTGCAGTTTGGCTTATGCAACGGTTTGCCATTCATTGCGCAGCTGTCGCTGGTGAAAAAAGTCTTAGGTCATGGTCGATGCACAGTACGTTGCGCTTGGTTTTTCCCACCTTGCCAAACATGGCCTTGATGTGCGCTGCAGCCACGCTCTTGCACGTCTTGAACGTGGCCTTTTTCTATTCCAAGCTCTTTCTTGCGCTACTGCAGGATACTCTGCTTGTTTTGCAAAGATCTCTAGCACAGTCGTAAACCGTGGTATTTTGCAGAATCGCATCACCTTGCAACATGCGCAGTCTTGTTGCTCCTTAACCTCGCAGGACTGAGATGTCCATAGTTTGCATTGCCTGTGGGCACGAATGTGTCGATGAGTCGGAGACGGACAAGCATCATGAGGAGCGAATAGATTTTTTCACTATGCCAGCAGAGGTTACTGTGAGACCGGGCATCATGCTTTCAGGCAGCGCGTTGCTGAGGGCTACGACGACCGGGCTCCGAGGCGTATGACTTGCGCCACCTGCAATTTCCGCTGCAACAACCGCGCTGAGTCATGGCGCCACACCGAGGAGAGCACACCACTGGTGACTTGTGTCGTTTAGCAGGCTTGTCAGTTTTCATAGAGCCACACGCATGGCATATGCAACTGTTGCATACGTTGTGTAATGTGCCCAAGCTGAACACTGAAAATTGCCCAAATGCGTTTCATGATGACTTTGTGCTTATTTACTTCACGGCAATCGCTTGATCCATGAGCCAGTGAGGAGACTGGGCACAGCCGCTTCCAGAGTGGTGAGGGCTCAGACGACCGGACTCCATGCTCGATGACCTGCAGAACTTGTCGGCATGTGTGCGCCAATCGAGCTGAGTCATGGGAACACACTGAGGCGGCGCAGACGTGTTGCATACTGAGCGTTTAGATTCAACGGCGAGGATTGTCCAGGTAGCAAAATTTGCTGACTCAATGCTTAGGCCATGTTGTTGGGGATGTTGGAATGCAAATGGCGAGTGGCACTTTGCGCAGGCAACCGAGCATACGAGTTTCCAACATACCGTTAGAGTCCGGGCTTCTGGTAATGCATCTCATCACGCAATTCGGCAATGCGTGTGGATTAGGCAACAGCACTTGCAGGAATGACCGCACCGCCGTGGCGTTGTCAGCTTCTAAGGGCACTGCAGAAGAGGAAGACTCTCAGGTACAAAAGGCTATCTTCGAAAGCCTGCTACCTGACAAGTCCCATGAGCCAGCCCCAAATCTCCGAAGATCTGAAGGCGCTGCTGAGCAGGTCACGCCCCAGTACATTTTGAGCTGCGCAAGTGATTGGAAAGACAAACTTTCGAGCGGTCCTCAATCTTTTGGTAATCTATACCAGGCTGCAGATGGGGATTTGACGTTTACGGTGTTGCGCGTGCAAGGCAGCAAGATCGTGAAGAACATGTCTCCACCTGCAATAGAAGACCTAAATAAGATTGCTCACAACAACATTGCCATGTTACAGGGCTACTTCTTGTCCCCTGACCTTTCAACTGCCATGTTCATCTATCACAGCGAACACGACGGCACTTTGAAGCAGCATTTGAACGATGACAAGCTTGCAGAAATGCTAAGTTTGCCATCAAGGGTCACGATCGCCAACGGTATAGTGACCGCGATTGATTATTTGCACAGCCTTGATCCTCCCTGCTTCCATCGGAGCGTGAAGCCTGGAAATATCCTGCTTGATGCAGAGCGGCAGCCAACACTCATTTGTCTCGCTTCGCGCAGTGCTCCAGCCCCAAGAGGAAGAGTGCGTTGCATGTCTCGCAGATTCTATTTGGAGATCAAGGCTTCATGTGCCCCAACTATTGTAAGACGGGCAACTTCGAGAAGGCCAGCGAGATCTTTTCCGTAGGAGCAACCATCTTGCAGAAACCTGGCAGCCATCAGCCCAAGCTTGCCCCCCACGTACTTTGTAGGGATCGCACCACTTGTTCATTGAAAGCGCTGGTGCTGGTGTCGCTTGCTTCGATTGGCTTTGAGATGCTTTGAGTGTGCTGGCCATGGGCGAATGCTTGTCAGAGCATTTGTGCCGCGTGTCTTGCGCTTAGGATTGTTGCTGGACAGACTCGCTTTGACAGCCCCCCGCTGAGTGAATTGCCAGATGATCTCAAGATGGCTGACGTTGAGAAGCTTCACGACAAACGGCCGCCTTACGCAAGCCATGAAGCAGAAGTCCGGACTTTGCCCAACATGACGGAGAGGCTTGGCATACCCAGACTTGCCCAGTCTCCAACTCATTTGTTGGAAGCCTATGGCAGGAGGAACGCAGGCATAGAAAGCAATAGAAAGGCAGCAGACTCGGCTCAGCAAGGCGCACAGAGTGTAGCACTACGATTGAAGCTTGAGCACAGTATTGAAGGGGTGTTAAAAGGCAACTTTAATGTTGGCTGATAATCGAAGGTAGATATCATGCCCAACCGATCCACAGGGAGACGCTTTACACGAGATGGCCGGAAGTAATTCGCATTCGAAATTGCGTTGAGCGAAAGGCTGTGCCATTCTGAGACAACCAAGGCAAGCAATGAAGAGGAAGCAGATCCGGACAAGCACAATTGCATCCCTACTGGAGCCGGTGCAGGAGTCTTTTGCCAATCAGCGTCTGCATCACTTTGTTCCTTTGTACTTTCTAAGTGAACAACCTTCAGTCTGGAACCCATAAGTTCACATGTGTTTTTCTCACTGGATGTGCTGCAGCATCCAGACTCTGTTTGGTCATGGTGTGCAGCACATGGAAGCTGGACTGTTGAAATTGTGAACGCCTAAGGGATCCACCGCTTGCATTTGACATGGCAAGATGCAGTTCGCGCGAAGCCGTGCATTCAGAGAGAGCGCAGCTGTTAACGGCACAAAGCGTTATTTTCCAGAAATGACATCGCGCCAGCCGCTGCGTTGGTCACGTTTCCCTCTCGAATGGTGGCAGGGGTGGCCATGTAGTGAGGCCGGTGACGGCCGTGCGCCCGCGCTGCGCTGAGGACGTCCGGGCGCCTGGCTCAGGCGCCGGCGCCGGCCACTGCTGCCAGGAGTGCCCCCAGCCGAGGCCGCGTTGGTCGCGTCCAAGAACAGCCAAGGAGGCAGTGGAATTCCTGGAAGCGCTTCTGGGCAGCCTGCTGCCGGGCCTAAGCAGAGGAAGCAGCGCCGACGTATGCGTGGAGACGATGGCGATGCCGAGGAAAGTGGAGATGACCCTTCGGAGCGCAGAACAAGAAAAGTGGCTGAGAGGCCTCGCGGCAGCTTGTGCGCCGGTCAAAAAATCGAAAAGCGGCGTGCGCCAGAAGCGGAAGAAAGCTATTGAGGCACAGCTTACCAGCGGGCATGCGCCCAGGGTGGTGGATTGCGGCTGGTGTGGGAGTTGTTGGATGAGGCGCTTGGTGAGCCGGAGCAAGACCTGTTTGAAATAGCCTCCCGGGCAATCCGTGCGCCGCCTAGGCAGCTGAGTTGGCTGCCGGGGCAGCGCCGGAGAGCCGATTCTGACTCCACCAAACATTTAATTGCGCGTGGGCAGAAGATGCTAGATCGCCGCAAATTCTCACGCCATGAGGGGCCGCATGTCGTCAGCGCAGTCGGACATGTAGCCTTGGGGCAGGGCAGTGAGGCACCGCCTTTGGAAGGCGCGTGAGAAGAAGGAGGGTTCATGGCCTGCGCCGGTCCAACCTTGTCTACGAGGAGGCTGGCCGCGTGAAAGTGAGGCCTGCAAGATCAGAGAGAAAGAGGAGCTTTGATGAAGTCCTGGCGGATGAGCAAAGGCCCGGAGCGCATATTGCTAACCTGGCACCATAGAAGGTGAAGGTGAAGGTGAAGGCACCATAGAAGGCTTGGATTGCAAAAAGGATGAAAGTCTTCCAGCAGAAGTTGAGTCGGGCCATCGTGGGAAATCCCCGCGCAATGATCTGAAAAGGGCGTGTTCCGCGAGCTGGCAAGCGAAAGGGGGCCTGGATAAAGAGAGCAGCGTGGCTCAGTGCTGCTCAGGGCCTCAGTGAACCTGAAAGCCTGCAGCTCCTTAATTTTGGTGGCTGGCATGGAGTTCTGATCTGGAAAACAACTTGACCATGGGCGGGCTCTGGGGTTGTGTAGGCGGGGTCAACATTGCTGCGCTACTGACGGGGCAAGACCCCACCCTTCACGGAGATGCCCGTCCGAGGTGAGAATGTTGTGCTGCGCAGGCAATGACATAGAAGGAATTGTTTTCTGCATTCACGGCACCGTCCCCTGAGACGAGTCTGCCAGTCTCCGCAGTCCCTTGGCTATTGGCAAGTCAGCAGCAGCGGCGAACAAGAAGAAGCAATGTCTATTTATTTCATTTAATGCGCGAAAAGGGCCAGAGCGAAAGAGGCTGGCGAATACTGTCCGAAGAAAAGCAAGACACCGGAGAGAGAAGGATGAAACTGAAACCTGAGGATGTGATCGCAGCCTTACCGAAATGACGGGGGAGGAGGGGGAGCATTTGAAGCAGGCGCTTCAGCAAGAAGAAGACTGCGTAGTGCCGTTTTCTGTGGCGAAGTGCAGGGTCCCAACCCTGGCGGAGGATGGAGACCCAAGGGCGTGGCGTCGCTGTCAACTGGCAGGATCACAAAGACCATTTGTCGCGAAGAGGCAGACAACGTCGCCAAAGACGGACGACGTGTCTAGAGGACAAATTGCTTAGGGAGTTGCGGCTGAGCTTCTATGAGCAGGAGAGGGGGCGAAGAAAGACGCAAGCGGCCGCGTGTCCGGGATTGCCGAGATGCCCAGCTGTTGGGGGAGAAGGCTGTTGCAGAGCACCGTGCAGGAGAGTTGCTTGAAGAGCCGGAGCAGGAGAACTTCAATGTTGAAGGCCGGAGCCCCAGTGCAGAGAAGAATTGTGCACGCGGCCGACATTTATGGACACAACTCCGTTGTCAGGATCTCGGCGAAAGATTGTCCTGGATTGCTCGGGCCAAGTGAGCTGGCATGGTGGCAGAGCACGTTCGACTGCGGGGGCTGGACAAAGTCGGTGACGAGGTGGAACCCGGCGGCTTGCCTTGGACCTTTCGGCCTTGAGCGGCGCAGATGGTTTCTGGAACAAGGAGATTATAACGTTCAAAGCGCTGAGGAGAGCCCCGCAGGCTTGGGCCATCTTGGGCCGTCGCTCGGGAAGCCCAGATCGAACGCAAAGGAGAAGCGGAGAAGGAAAGGAGAAAGGGCAGGCAGGAGTCGGCTGCGGGACTTAGAGAAAGAGCGGCTGCCCATGATCGAGAGCCCAGAGCAGCAAGAAAACGCAGAAGGCAAGGAACAAGACGAGGGGAGTTCGAGCTCATCACGCGAGCTCAGGACCATGGCCTGCGCGACAGGAGAACTGCTGCCAAGCAGAGTGCCAGGAGGTTCGGATAGAAGGAATTCGCAGATATTCTTCCAAGAGCCTGAGCAGAGGAGAGCCAAGGAGATCAGCAGCCAAGTGGGCGGTGTCATGGACGATCTTCGCGTGGACACGCTGCGCATCCCCTTCTGTGAGATGAATCGAGGAGGAAGACAGGCACGAGCCTGTCTCTCTTCGACGGTCCGAGGAATCCAGAGTCTCACAAATTCGACAGGTTTTGGAGTTGGCCATCTGCAGCGCGAGGGGCGGGCCTGGCGAGCGGCGCCGCCGCAGACGCGTGAAGGGGGCTGAAGACGCACGGAGCAGGCGACGGAGCTATGTCAGCCGACCCGCTTGGTCGGAACATGTCGGATTATGTCGAAAGCTGCGGCAGAAGCTGCGACGGCAAGTGTGAACGCACAGTCAACCTCGGCCAGCGCGAAACGAAATGGTATGCGGAGGTTTACATTACCTGACGCAGAACGCGAAGGTGTGAAGTCTTCTTGGCGTAGGGTGACCTGGATCCAGAGAAGTGGTTGAAGAGTTTGAGTCGGAGGGCGAAGGGTGTGAGGGGTCATGCCAGATGTCCGAAGCTTGGAGCCAGGAAAGGAAGGTGAAGACGCGCCCCCCCCTAATGAGGAAGAGACGGAGAAGATCAAGAAGAGTCAGAAGCAAAGCCCATCCAGGTTGCGGCTCGTGTCCAGTGTCCTTGCGCAGGACAAGGACGCCCAACCATGTGGCTCGGAGTTCATGACCCACTGGTTTGCCCCGTTTGGGGATAATGCAGAGGTGGCCATGGATCAAAGAGACAAGTTACCCTAGCAGAGCTCCTTCGCTAAGCAGCCTGCCCTGGGCCGCCAAGTAGGAAGCGGACCCTGCGGCGCGCCGGTGTGGAGAAGGGGGTCCTCAACCAACGCTCTGGTCTGCGAACTTTCCGGATTGCCCCATGACCGTGTCAGCGACAAGAGCATGCTGGGGCAGGCGCGCAGCAAACAGCGACGTGGAAGTCAGACCTGCAGCGGGGACACAGGCTGCGCAGCTCAAGCTGGAGCAGGCCTCACCCGAACACCCGGAGGGCTGTAGGAGAGCCGCAGATGTTCAAGAACCAAGAGTGTGACAGAAGAAAGACAGGTCTGGCGAGGCCTAGCGCAGGAGGCCGAGGAAGGGTGCTTCGTGTCCGGGAGAGGAGTTATTAGGAATGCGGGCTTGGTGGAGGAAGCTTGCAACACGGTTGGCCCTGGAAGTGCTGCCTAAGCACGCGGCGTTGATGCCGAAGAAGGAGAAGGAGAAGGAGAAGAGCAGGAGAAAGGACAAGGAGAAGGAGAAGGCGAAAGAGAATGAGCAAGAGAAGGAGAAGGAGAAGGAGAAAAAGAAGCAAAAAACACAAAAAAAGGAGAAGGAGAAGGAGAAAGAGATGGAGAAAGAGAAGGAGAAGGAGAAGGAGAAAGAGAAGGAGAAGCAGAAGGAGAAAGAGAAGGAGAAGGAGAAGGAGAAGGAGAAGGAGAAGGAGAAAGAGAAGGACAAGGAGAAGGAGAAAAGAAGGAGACAGAAAAGGAGAAAGTGAAGGAGAAGGAGAAAGAGAAATAGAAAGAGAAGGAGAAGGATAAGGAGAAAGAGAAGGAGAAGGAGAAGGAGAAGGAGAAGGAGAAGGTGAAAGAGAAGGAGAAGGAGAAGGAGAAGGAGAAGGAGAAGGAGAAGGAGAAGGAGAAGGAGAAGGAGAAAGAGAAGGAGAAGGAGAAGGAGAAAGAGAAGGAGAAGGAGAAGGAGAAGGAGAAGGAGAAAGAGAAGGAGAAGGAGAAAGAGAAGGAGAAGGATAAGGAGAAAGAGAAGGAGAAGGACAAGGAGAAGGACAAGGAGAGGGAGAAAGAGAAGAAAGAGAAGCAGAAAGAGAAGGAGAAGGAAAGGAGAAGGAGAAGGTGAAAGAGAAGGAGAAGGAGAAAGAGAAGGAGAAGCAGAAGGAGAAGGAGAAGGAGAAGGAGAAGGAGAAGCAGAAGGAGAAGGAGAAGGAGAAGGAGAAAGAGAAGGAGAAAGAGAAGGAGAAGGAGAAGGTGAAAGAGAAGGAGAAAGAGAAGGAGAAGGAGAAGGAGAAAGAGAAGGAGAAAGAGATGGAGAAGGAGAAGGAGAAGGAGAAAGAGAAGGAGAAAGAGAAAGAGAAGGAGAAAGAAGGAGGCACCGAGGCTTCACAAGCAGCCGAGAAAGACACTGCAGCCACGACAGCTGCAGAGGATGACTGGCTGTGATGTTAGGGAAGGAGCCTGGTGCTGCAGTTGTCACCAAAGCAGCGGTTTAACATTCATAGTCATCCAAGGAGTGCAAAAAGCTCCTAGGTAAGTGGCGCCCGACGGCATAGTGGATGACCTGAATTTTTACGTAGAGGAGGCCCAGCCTGCCAGCCTGAAGGAGATGCGCGATGCCGTTGGGAGATCAGAACTTCAAGGTGTTTCACCGGCTCGCAACGCACAATGTCGGAGCACATGTGCAAGACGAGTGCTCGCGCAACGGCTAGGCGGACCTGAGCAAGGCCAAAAAGTTGCTCACGGAGATGAAGCATAGCGGCACCAGAAGCAGCTTCGCTGATGTCGGTGGCAGACTACTAGCTCTAGTATTGGCTTCTGCGGGACGCGGCGCAGAGCCGTGATGGCGGAGCACCCTGTCTACAGACGCGCTGCTGGTGACGGATTCCAGAGTCTTTACGACCACGCGTTGAAGGTGGGGCACTTGACGCAGGACCGCCGCACGGCGTTGGACGCGTGTACCGCGAAGCCGCTGGACGGGATTCGTGGCATCAAACGGGTCCCAATCCCGACCCTTCGGCAGCACACTGATAGACCAAGGATGACCAAGGGGATGAAGACGAAGACAGCGCAGCTTAGGGAGACCGGGCGCACAGCAGTGCCGGCAGTGACAAGGTCATGGAGTCATGGAACAGAAGAGTCTGATGCAACGCTCTTGTTCCCTGCCATGAACGTGTAAGGGATCCACCGCTTGCATCAGACATGGCAACACACAGCTCACACTGGTCTAATTAGAAGCCGAAACTGTTATTCGCACGCCGGGCGTTGCATTACCCTTTATTTTCCCTCTTGCGTGGTGTTGGGGGCCGGCGCCGCTTGCAGACTCAAAAACCTCCGTCTCCCGGGAGCAGGGCCTGGCTGCAGCGAGTGAAACATTACCCTTGGACTAGTGCCTGAATTGGTTTGCAGGATCAGACTGCGCCACAAGGAGATGATGCCCAAGCTGTCAGAGACACCAGAAATGCGAAATGGTACGAGCCATACAAGCTGGGAGTGTTCAACATGGTGAAGGCAGCAAGCCGTGGTGACTCCTTTGGACAGATTTCCGTGCTTCTGAGGTAATTATGTCACTTTCAGCCCAGTTTTGAAGCAAGGGTTGAGACCTTGGCAAGCTGCCTCGATCTGCTGCCCACGCTTGCAGGAAAAATGCATTTGGTTCAGATCAAAGCCAGCCTAGACAATGAGTATACCATGGCCGAATGGCCAGCGATTCAGCAGGATTTGTCCCCAGCTCAGTGGGGCGCGGCGTGCTAGATGTCAGAACGGATGGAGAATCCAGGACACGACGGGTAAGTCAGCCATTAAAAACAGTTGTAACCCAGACTTGAGTGAATGGACGTAAACACAGGAAGAGCTGTATATAGGCGTATGTAGCTAGCCATGTCGCAATGAACCCAACCCACCGAGTAGCAAGATAATGTTTGAACACAATGGTACCAATGACTCCCCGTCTACACCAAGCAAGCAAAGGGCCCCATGACCTCAATGTAGGACAGGGCAATAGAAAGCCACAGCGTGTGCCACTTCTGAAGGGCTCAGCATACCAACGGCAGAAAGCTCCCTTCTACGACGGAACGGCAGAGTTGATCAGCTGGGAACGCATCCTCTGTCAACAATGGGACCTGCAGGATCTCCGCCGCCGCCTTAGCACGCCTTAGCGTTTGCTTGGCCAGAGGCAGCTGATGCCAAAAGTTTTCAGGTTCCAGCATGTTGGAGAAATGTTGGGTTGATTGTCACAGGAGGAACCCCTCGCAATCGCAATGTGAGCACCCTGTATTCACATGTATTCGCAGGGGCCGCTATGCAATGGCAGGTAGAATCCAGCGCCCAGCTTGTCAGTCTCTGAAGCTAGGCCTGTTCTGGGGCTTTTCTCATTAGGCGATGCCAGCCTGCTGTCTTGTGCGCCCTGTTCCATGCGCTAAGAGCCATTGACAGATCTAATTTGGTCTGAGCGTCGTTGGACTGAGGCAGCTTGCTCGAGGTCTACACACGACAACACAAGCACGTCATGATCACTTCCGTGTCATCAGGCCATATGAAAGAAGTGGAGCAGGTCGTCGACGATGTCATCCGTGACCCAGACGGCCGTGGCCGCGCCGCAATCCTAGATTTGCAAGACGCATGGCCCACTTTTGACACAAGAGCTTGCGGTCATGGAGCCTTGTCAGTCTTGAATCCCTCGAACCCACAAGGTGCGCACAGCTTTTCTGCAGAGAGGTTGCGACTACAGTGATGTGCGTCGCAAGAAGGCAGATGGATAGTGTGGCGCCTTTTTAACATCCCGGAGCCACACGGTTGGGTGCCGGCTTATCCGGGAAACCAGTTGGAGAGGGGTCGGACCTGCGCGTTGGAACCCTCCACCCTGCAGGACCTCATTGCTTTGGGTTTGATGTGGGTTTGACAATGTTTGACATGGACTTTATCCTCTTTTTGTTTTCGCAGAACCTTTTCTGCTTGCGTTCGGCTTTGCAGAACTCGTTGGATTGTTTGCAGCCCACTTCCATTGGTTCGCAGAGGGGTGTTTCCAAGCGCACGTCCTGCCTCTCCCAAGTCGTTTAAATTGAAGCAGCAATACGCGCGCCGCGACACCGTGGAAAACAGCGTGGTGTTGAACTTGTTGGTTGCTATCAATGGCAACACTGTGGATCCGCATTTGGAAGACAACGGATTGAGATGCTTGAGTTAATTGCAAAAAGCTTTGGAGACATGAGCAGCTAGCACAGAAACATGAAGCAGCTTGGCCAAGGCAACTTTATCGTATTGATTTCTTGATGGACATACATGTTGACCGGATCAGCCCCGCCATTTGCTATCGTTTCTGATGCCAAGCTGTCAGTTCTTGTGGTCCAGCAGGCAGTTGAGCGCTCCCAATGCTAAAAGGATGCGGCGCGGCACGTCTCAATCGCTGTGCGCCCGATTCGTTATGCTTGTCACAAGTGTGTCGAGTAACCCCTCATTGCAAAGTTGAGCCAGTCAATCCAGATGAAGGAGAACGGGTTTGGCAAGCTGCACCGTTTCATTTCATAATTCGCGGCCAAGGACCCTTTTGCGGATTAGCTGATTTGCGGCCTTGCGTGGACTTGTGAAGGGTTCGTAGCTTCTCGCTGAATGCAGAGCCCTGAATCCCCTCCCTGCCATTTGGCTGCCATGGTGCGGGTTCCGGGTGGCAGAGGTGGAAGCGGGAAGCATGGCAGAGGTCTCGCACCAGTGGTCTCATCCTGATCTAGGCCCTAGGCGCCCGGACTTGAGAATCCGCTGCCTCCAGATATGTACACAGCACACACATGTGATTGTATTCTTCTGTTCGGCCTTTGTGCCGAGCTGTATGGTCTAAATACTGCCCCCGCGCCATGAGCAGACACACCCAACTTGCAAGAACCTTGAAGCCATGCTGGCTTCCCTCCCTGCAGCCTGTCACTGAGAAGCTAGACAGCAAGGAACATGGCCAAGTTTCTGCCAAGCCGTTCGGTCACGCCTCCTGTTGGAGCAGAGCCCAGGCTGCACGGGGCTGCGTGAGGGCCTGATTCATTCAGCGCACCCGGAAAAATCTACAGGAGGACAACTATTTTATGGTTCTCTGAAACTGGCGGCCGGGCTGACAGCTGATGCTTCTGTGGGAAGCGCTGCGGGAGCCAACCTTCATGATTGAATGTGGAGGCCCTAGATAGAGCAGCTTGGCAGACAACTCAGCTGCGTTTGCGGGAGTTGGACACTTGCAGGACCTAAGGATGGATTTCCCGAAGCCTGGGAGGCATCCATGGAAAGGGCCCAGGAATTGTCCAACCCTCCGCTCTCCCAGCCACAAACTTAGAGACCTGAAACTTCCATCGCAGGCGCAGTTTGGTCTGCGCCCGCTTTGCGCCAGGCAGACGACCAGCCAGAAGCCCCGAACCCAGCCAGCCAGGGCAAAGAACAGTCGTTTCAGACACTCTCCCCGCTCAGAAGCTACCCGGTCAGGTAACCCACCGCCAACGTGCTAAGAACACACCCGCCACAGCAGAGCGCCCACCACTAAAGTGTGACTAACATTGAACAACCCCCGACAGGGAAACACCCGCCCCTGCAAAATACCATCACCAGATGTTGAGAACTTTTTCACCCTGGCTCAACTCCCGTCATCCCCACTGCCAAATGTTGAGAACATGCCAAGGGGTCAGCCCCCCGCTGAACAGCCACCGCCAGATGTTGAGATCATTTGCCACGGACCATTCGCCCTGGCAAAACACCCGCTGCCAAATGTTGGGAGCATTTGCCAAGAGACCACTTACACCTGCCACGGCAATGCGAACACCATAGAACACCATGGAACACCCACCACCAAGCGGCGATAGTTTCTGAACCAGATGTTGTTCGGCTTGCTGTTTGGCTGGCACATGCTGCCTGGGTAGGTTCGGCCTGGCTGGCTGGCTGCCTGGTGGGTGGATGGTGGCGTGTCGCGGCTGGCTGCAGATGCCAAAATAGCAGCCCAAATTGCACCTTTCCTCGCCGATGCTGAGTTCGCACGCCAGTGGGTTGGCATGTTTCTTTTGGTGGCAGACAAATACGAGGTTTAGACGCATGGCTTTGTTTTTTCTCGAAAAGCAAGTCTAGGCACTAAGATGGCAAGACGCTCTGGCCATCATGGTGTCCCAACCAGGCTACAACCTGTGGGTGCTTGCAAAGTTAAGCGATGACTGCCTTGCAGACTGTGTCTTTGGAACAAGGATTGCTGCTTTTGGAGGAATCGTATGTCGCGTGTTGTTGCCATTGGAGAGGTGCCGGGCGTTATTTTGTCAAGTTTGGAGGCCAACAACACCCAGGCAACAGGAATGGTCACGTGTTGGCTGCGTCTTGCTGCGGGGGTGCCGGGTGCCGACGCTTCTGAACCTGAGGCAAACCTGGACAAACTTGAGCTCAACCCGCTCAGAAGGCGGTCCTCCGGTTCTGCAAGTCAATGTTTGGGTTCCGCCAGAGGATCAAAGGCCAGGATGGGACGTGGTAAAAACCTGCAAAAGGGAAGCCTTGGCAAAATCTTGAAAGGGAGGCGCATTCGGGCTTTGGTCCCAGCCCAGGAGGCCGGAATGGGGGGGTGATGCTTGTCACAAAAGCTCGCGCCAGAGACTTGTTTACCATCTCCACCTCAGGATAAAGATCACTGTAAGACTGGTGCAAAGATGGGGTGCTGCGTGTTGCCCGCGGGGCACTGAGGGCAGGGGGCTCAAGGCCAAAGTGTCACCAGCTTCAGGCGCATGGCCTGAAATGTCATGGGCCGCTGCAAGATGCTCGAAAGGCTGACTTGCCCAGTGTACAGTTTCTCGGGTGATTACTTCTCAGTGCGGCCGGGTCCTGATCAAGTCGCAATCAAGTGGGCAAGCAGCAAGCCCTCAGTCTCAGCATGTCTTAGCCGTTTTTTTGCATGTTTGATCACAAGGCTCGAATCCTAATCGGACCAGCAAGGCATGGTGAGGCTGCTGCCTTCATCAATCAGGCTCTCTGTGCATTAACTTAATACGACTTCATTCACACCCAGGCACAAGGTGCCGGTGACGTCAGAGAGAAGGATGGTCTTCAGGAGATGCTTGGGCAAGAGGATGACTAGAATGAGCGCAGAGTGCATGCTTATCTTGGGAACACAGGGAATTCTTGTGATACGTACGTTTTGCTGTATTTGGTTGTGCATGCTGAGTGGTGAGTTTGGTTTGCGCGGCCGAGCAGTGCACATTCTGGCTCGGACTGGTGTAGCATTCAGTGCCACTAGTACTCATGGCCGGGGTTCCATCGCGTGGATACAAACTCTCCGGAGGCAGGGCGCTGAGTTTGCTAGCTTGGATGACTACCACTAAGTTTATTGAACGCTGATAGCGCTGCAATGCATCTCAACTTCAGCGGCTGCCTAGAATCATCAGCAACAAGTGGTTAGGGGAGCTTTTGCATCGAACCCCGGAGCTGTTCATGTTGATTTTGTAGTTTGCAGGCTTGCTCCGCCAAAGCCAGTGAACACTTGTTACTTTGCCAAAAGATGGGTTTTCACAAACAGACAATATGTTGTCCAGGTTCCTTTCCGAGCATAATTTCTAATTAGTAGCTCAGGTAGGGTGAGCCTTTATGTACAGTGGCCTAGATTTTGCGCCTACTCCGCAGAATAGACCATCAACACGCACAATATGGTGCGTAGTATTGCTTCGTGTGCTCGGTGTTTGGCAATTTGTTAAGGCTTTGTTTGCGTGAACTTGTGTTGTTGTGTTGTTGCGTTGTCGTGTGGCGTTCGCAGAAGTTCGGGGATATGTTGACCGTTTTTTGCCTTAAACCCAGAAACCTGCTGCAATAATTTGCTGCAACACGCCCGCAAAAACCCGCGGCGCAACGCAAACAAAACTCGGCAAGCGCCAGATAGCGCCAGCAGATTGGAGATCATTGGTATTTCCACTTGTTTAATTATGCGCGCCTCAGGCGAAGGATGTGAACAGCTCCTGCGGTTGGCCTGCGCCCCAAATCACACCTGCCAACGCCCTAGACCCTAAACCTAAAACCGCGCCTAATTCCTAAACCACACCTAAACCCTAAACTTAGAATCCATGAAACCCTAAGCTAACGTTAAGCCCTAAACTGAAACCTATGGAACCCTGAACCAGAGCAAAACCCTAAGCCTCAAACACACGTAAACACCAAACCTAAACCCAAATCCCATGAAACCCTGAACCAAACCCAAGACCACAAACCCACTGCTTGCAATATGCGCATGGTACAGGCATTTGACAATGTCGTGCCTCATTTTGGGTGTCATTCACGTACCGGCTGAAGGCTTCGAAGAAGTCGTGCCTTTTCCCAAAACGCATAGGAACTCAATGGCCTTGGGGAATCTGGTTGAAGCAAGATTTTCTCTGAATTCCATGGGCTGGCCATATCAGGGCACACGCCATGAACAAGTAGTTTATTGCGTTTAGGTGAAGTTTCATGTTGCAGGGGTTCACTGTACCAGGGCAAAATCACGCTGCACGGCTGATCAGATATGGCACCAAGAAGGCTGCCAATTTGGTACTGAACTGAAGCATTCGGCTGGAAGCCTGAGCCAGAACGGCAATGCCTCAGCGAGTCCAATGTGACTGCCGGCAAGCCACAGGGGCTGTGGGCATAGAGAGCGTTAAGGGCTGAATTCAGGGTGGCCACGGTTAGGTTCGGTTCGGTTCGGTTTCTGAAACCTTTTGAAAACCTTTCTCCGGTTTGTGGCGGTTACTCATAACCTTCCAAAACCTGCCGGTTTGCACGGTTAGTGCAGAAAAGTAAGATAAGGCTCTAGGTAACTCAGTCTGCTTTCGCCCACACTTCGCCAACTTCCACATCTCTGGCATCGCCATCCATCTGACATCGCCATCCCACACCACACACACAGACACAATTACACACACAAACAAACAAACAAACAAACAAACAAACAAGCAAGCAAGCAAGCAAGCAAGCAAGCAAGCAAGCAAGCAAGCAAACAAACAAACAAACAAACAAACTCACAAAAACAAAAACAAACAAACGAACCATGCCACTGACTGATGCTGAGCATGTTGTTCCGCGCACGTGGCCTTGGGAAGCATCTCAGAAGTCAAAGCTCAAAAGCGAAAAAAACAAGTCACTGACCGCTGATGGGTCACTTTTTTTGCTTGCCAAATTTCAGCGGTGTTTCGTGTGTTGCGAGCACTGCGGAAGCAAAATCAGAACCAGAAGCGGCCAATAATGCGGGTTTGTTGCCTTGACACGTGCAGCAAAGGGGTCTCAGCTGCGGTGGCCTGCTAAGCGTGCCAAAAGTTCTGGCAATCAGGCTGGTGGGGCGTTGGGGAACGGCAGGGCAGGCCCAGGGCAAGGCGGCAAGGCGCCGGGAGAGCAAGAAGCCAGTGCCATGGTATTTGGGTGTTTCATTTGCATTTGGGTGTTTCATTTTCTTGGTGTTTGTGGTTTCTGTTGGGCTTTGTGTGTGTTTTAGGCTCTCCTCACACATATAAATGTGTGGATTATCATATAGATACATAAATATCTTTTGCTGGGACCTCAATGAGAAGCAAAGTTTCTAGATGCTATTTGCCAGCGCTTAGGTCAAATTAGTGCTTAGTTTGGATTCAATACACACACTAGCTGCCTCAGCTTGAAACTCAACACGTTGCAGCCACCCAAGCATTGCAGCCTGTCTGCGCAATTCCTCAAGTTTGGGGCCATACCACAAAACCAACTGAAGTCACTTGGGGACCAAAGAATTTGTTAAGTGGGGTGCGCCCTGGCTCATCTTCAACCTCTCCATCGTCGTCTTCGCCGCCATCCAGCCTGGCAAGTCTGGGCACTCAGAATGCAGATTGGAATGCGAAGGGGGCTGGGTTCCACTTGCCTTGAGTTAGTCAATGTTTCTTAAGAGGAGGAGCCACATTGAGCTGTGAGCTGGACCTACCCCTGAAATCCGGAGATGCTGGTCAACTCTCCCTTTTTCATAGCGATTTGATTTTACAATGGCAAGGGGTGAACAACAGGATTTATATTGACTGGTCAGCTAGTGAGTTATAGGAGTTCCCCACGTGGCCCTTCACTGAACAATTGTCACACAAGTTCCTCAGGCCCTGTGGGCCGTGTATCATTGAAGTTCCCAAGAAGGTCCAAAGCACCTTTGCAAACGTAATCGCCTCCTAGAGCTGGGTGCGGGCATGCTGTGTCGTGTCAGAACGTTTCGCGAGAGTACAAAGGCATACAAAGGCTGCCTGAGTTGTCAAGCGACGCAACTGTCAAGCGACGACGCAACTGTCAAGCGACGCAACTGTCCTGTCAAGCGACGCAACTGTCAAGTCAAGCGACGCAACTGTCAAGTCAAGCGACGCAACTGTCAAGCGATGCAACTGTCAAGCGATGCAACTGTCAAGCGATGCAACTGTCAAGCGATGCAACTGTTTTTGGTATAAAGGTTGTTCTGTGGGTGATTGGTTGGTTGGAGCAAACATTCGTGCGTGACAGACTGATTTAGCAAGCACTTTCGCTTTTCCATCCACGTCAACACGAGCGCCAAAAAATCTGAGGCCAGGAGAAGCCGGGAGAAGCAGAGGCATGCCTGGGCGGCTGGGCGGTGGCGGCGTTGGTTGGGGCGGATTGGGTTGGTCGGGCCCGGCCAGGAAGTATGAAAACCATAGGCCGAAACGGCCATGAAGTAAGCAAATAGCTCTAAAGCATACTTGTTAGGTCAACATCTTGCATTGCACACGGGCTGGAAGTATCCTTAAGCGTGTTTGGCCGGCAACAGAATTTCTTTCCTTTTGTGTTGTCTGTTCACTACACAGTAATCATTCGTCAAAATGTTGAGGCCTAACTGCAACCCAAGTTTCAATGCTGAGACTAGAAGCTTCATGGCAAACGCTTTTCGCAAGAAACAGTGTAAAAAGGAGCACAGTTGCCCTCGTGCTGTTGTTTGGCCTTAGGCAAGGAAATGAATGTTTCTTCCAAGCTGCCAGGGCCCAGAGGTCACTGACCACGCTTCTTGAGCTCGCGGTCGATATCCGCACGCGCACTCTTCAGCTTCTTTGTTGGTACCTTTGACCAATTGCAGCTGGGGCCATCAAGCTCATCAATGGCCTTTTTGACGTCCTTCAAGGTCAGTTGGCCGTAACGCAGGTGCACTTTTACGCTCCCAGGCGCATGTCTCCTTAGTTTTCAGCGTGTTTGCCGCAGGGGTTCAATTTCAGACAGCCAAGCTTTTGTCACGACTGCCTGTGTAAGGTACTTAGTGGTTGCCTGAGTGCTTTCACGCAAGCCTTAGGCATCCAACGGAATTCACACACCTTAAAAGCAGCAGTTGGTAGGCATTCGCGCTATGCTGAACTGCAAATGGCTTGTTTGATTTCCATAGAAACACATGTTTTGCAATGGCGCCATTCAGTAAAAGACAGACTCACTGCTACTTGTGTAAGCCACGTTTTCCACCACATAATTTTGACACAGCAAGTAAGGCCAAGCCGCGCGTATTTCATGGACATGGCTGTGCTTAAGCCCTCGCCCATCAATTCGGTGATGAGAGT